TAAGTACAGTACCAGGAATTTCAATGCTCCAATTTACTAGCCTTGGAAATCACCTTCTTTACCATGCCATCAGAACTTTCAACCTATAGACGAGTTCTGTTCCATACAATACTGAACTTGCAAATGTCCTGGTTCCTGATTCTTTCACTTGGAAGTGAAAACTATGGTTTCAGGAATATACTGTGTACAATTCACAAAAATTCAATTAAGAAAACCTAATTCCATGAAAGGAATTTTTCCTGACCGTACCTTTTGAATTAGAGCAAGTCATCCTTGTGGCAAAATAATTCTAATGTCAAATCCCCAACACTCTTCCAAAGTTCTATTAAGAAAATACTTCGCAAGGGCTGATGGTAAGAAAGCAGTCAGTTGTCGTTAATAGCAATTAAACTGGCAAGTTGAAATTCTCAGGTATTCATAGACTTAATGAACTATTTTCACTTCTAGGTGGCTTCCTCATACAAAATTCTTTCCTTGCATTGAATGGAAATGAATGAATGGTTCTCTTGATTGTACAAGTTAGAATCTTTCTAATCGAACATCAGCTAAATATGAGCAGCCCTACATTTTGACAGAGGTACCCTCATTTACAATCCTATTGCTATAAGATCCTGCCTCGTCCTTCACTTGTAATTACTGCAACTGAAGAGCCACGGGGCGTTTCATTGTTAGATTATCTTCCCAAAGATGGGGAAGGAAGAAAATCCCCTCTGTGTTCAGTGTTAGCTTTAATGGAGCCAAGCCATCCACAGGACTGCAATTCAGGGAGTTCTAACACAGGACGCCATTCATCCAGTGCCGCCCCTAACTGTCAAACCACCCATCACAATGCATTCTTCCTAACCGAGGCCGCAATTAAAAATTAAGCAAATCCGAGGGCAGACAAACAGCAGATGCTCCCAGCGCCAGTAAAACCCAGCGGTTTGAAATGCTGATTGAATCTAAGTGTAAATGCTTAAACAATAAAAAATAAATAAAACAAAGTGCTTGTTGATTCGGAAGTTTTATTTCCTTTCTCTAATGCTGCACTTTGTGAGATGTTCCCTCTGCCTTTCATAATATGAGCTGTCAACATGAGTCGAGCATCATGTGTGGTGCTGAGTCTCACGCAAGACCTGTTTTGCAGAGCTTGTCCTTGGAAGGAAGCCGGGTGATTATGTTAAATCGAATGCTCCTGTGTCCTGACGGAAATGACTGCAAGCCCCAAGCCGCACAGGGTTGCTTTGACAAGGGCTGGGGACAGTAAAGAAGGATTAGAAACTGCACTTCCTGAGATTGCTTCAAGCCTTGGCTAGTCGTTAATACGGTTCCAGATAAAAAGAAAATTAGAAACCAAAACAGAAACAAGATAGTTGAGCACCTCAGGAGACGAAGAGATTTAAATAACATGCTATTTAGGGGCTACAGGTGCTGGCTTAAAAGTGTCTGTGTATACTGAAAACCTTAGACAAACACCAATGAGCCCAAACAGAAAAGCAGCAATTGACTATTTTCCCTGCTGTGATTTTCTTTCTAATTTTACTGTAAAATAGAACAGACAGGACAGTGTTAGTTTACGATTCTTTTTCTTATGTGTGTGTATAAGTATGTGTGTATGTTCATGCGTGTTGGGCAGCCCACACGCAACTGTGTGTGTGTGCACGTGGAGTCTAGAGTTCAACCTTGCTGTGATTCGTCAGTTACACTCCAACTTGTTTTTTTGAGCGGAAACTCCCTGGTCTGGACTACCCACATGGGCTACACTCAGTGGTCAGTGTGCTCCAGGCATCTGCCTATATCCCTTTCCCCAGCACTGGAATTATAAGTCCATGTCACCAGGTCTTTCGTTTCCTTTATTTTGTTAGTTTGTATGTTTACTTGAGTGCTAGAGCTGGAACTCAGATCCTCCTGCTTACATAGCACGGACTTTACCAACTGAACCATCTCTTTACCCTCCAGTTCTTTTGATAGAACATTGTAAATTGCCTTTGAAAAATACATACTAGAAATCTATTTTTTAAAAAAAGTATATTCAGGATTTAGAACTTGACTCGGTTGGATGCAAAATATTATGTATGGAATATGAACTGTCTGCCATAGACACACGTGTTGGGGGTTTGGATCTGTTCTGTTGGTCCTAGTTGACAGAGGACCTGAAAAGCTTAGGAGAGGAGACTTAACTCAAAGAAGGAGGCGTGTGAAGTTGAACCCTTTCAGGAAACAACTGTCTCTCTACCCGGGGCACTATCTCTACTGTCTCTCTACCCTGGGCTCTATCTCTGTCTGTCTCTTTCTTTCACTCTTTAGCTAATCCCATAACATCTCACTACCAAAGACCCTCTGCCCCACCACAGTCCCAGAATAAATACTGAATCCATGAACAAATATAAATCTTTCCCTTTTTAAAAAAACATATTCTTTTTATTTTTAATTATGCGTGTTTGTGTGGGTATGTGCACCATGCGTGTGCAGGGTCAGTGAAGGCCAGAAAAAGCAATTGGATCCCCTGGAGCTGGTTACGAGTACATGTGTTCTAAGGGCATGTGTGTAGGGAAAGGAACTTGGGTTCTCTGCTGGAGTGCTATGCTCTTTGAATTTCTAAACTGTCTCTCCAGCCCCAAATTCATTCTCTCATAAGTGATTTGTGTCGGGATTGTATTCACAACAACTGAAAAATATCCAATACACATGTCTAATAAAGGGCTTGCGAAATCTTCTACAATGTAGGAAAGCTGCAAAAACGTTGCTCCATGAAGGAAAAACTAGAAATATCAAGCTATTCTGACAAAACAGAAAAGGATAATAAAGGTCCCTTGACGTCTAAGACATTACCAATGTTTAGAAGCTGCAACATTGGTATTGATGAGATAATCAGTCATACAACCCAGCTACAGCGCTCCTGGGAATATATTTAGAGCAATCTAAATCTTCATACAGCTGAGACACCTGTCCATTCATTGTTTATGACTTTGCTGTTCACAATAGCCAAGATAGGGAAACAAACCCTAGGTAACACACACACAGTGGAGTATTATTCAGTCATGAAGAAGTATAGAGTTGTGTCATTTGCATGGAAATGAATGGAACAAGAGCATATCTTACTGATACAAGTTAGAATGAGAAAGACAGTTAGCACAGGTTTTCTTCCATATGTGGAATCTAGATTTAAGTGTGTGTGTGTGTGTGCGTGTGTGTGTGTGTGCTGTGCGTTTGTATTAAATGCTCATACATCAGGTACTATTTAAGAAATGCTAGGCAGCCGCTAACAGGCAGACGGATAGAAGAGAGATTAGCTGTAAGGTGAACAGAAGCAACATAGCTTATACACATAATGGAACCCGTTATTTTACACAAGGAATACATGCTAAAGCTAATAATAAAACAGCAATAAGAGAACAATGGGTAACAAGTCACAGCCTACGCATTTAATTTCCCACAGTCTCTGAGAACGCTTAACGGACAATTCAACCGCGCAAAGCCGTCTACTTCCTCCAAGTGCATTCAGATCTAAACCAATCTTCTGATATTTGAATTTGGAGGGCAGAATCCACAGTCTGAACTGGAAAAGCACCTCCATCAGTAAGTGCTCAGAATGTCTTCTATACGGAGGTCCTTCCTTCAGATAGACTCTCGTTCCCCTTATTTGATAGTAAAACGGAACCTAGGGCCTAATGGGTTCATCTGGAAGCACAGGTGTGGCCTTGTGCATTCCTCCACAAGAAACACAAACAGAAAGGCCACAGGATAGCAGGCTCCTGCAAGTGGCCCAGCTGTACCCACTGAAAGTGTAAGTATCGTTCAGCTGTGAGTCCGATGGGTTTCCAAAAGCCTTCTACAGGTGATTCTGACGGGGGATAATCTTGCCGTTGGGAGGTAGTCTACATTATAGAGTCACGGAGGAGGAAAATTAAATTCTTCAGAAAGTCTAAATGCCACTGTGGACATTTTGTCTACATGAACTGAACATGACTTCTTCTGTGTTACTCTTATTTCAAATAAATTCAATAAAAACCATTCTTGCAGCAACTTGAACATACTACTGGCTTGCCTTAATCTGCCAGAAAACGCGTGATAAGGGGCTGGAGAGATGGCTCAGCGGTTAAGAGCACTGACTGCTCTTGCAGAGGACCCGGGTTCGATTCCCAGCACCCACATGGCGGCTACGAACCGTCCTTAACTCCAGTTCCAGGAGAATCCCTCTTCTGACCTCCAAGGCATTGCACAACACAGGTGCGCTCACAGACACGCAGGCAATACACTCACACACATAAAATAATAAATGAAATATTAAGAAAAAAAGATAATGAATCTTCTAGACATGGTGGCACGTGCCTATAATCCCAGCACTTGGGAGGCAGAGGCTGGCGGCTCTTTATGACTTTGAGTCCAGTCTGATCGGCATAGCCACGTTTTAGGCTGGCTGGGGCCCTGCCGTGTCTCAAAATAAACCAAGAATAAAAAGAAAACCAAAACCAAAGAAAGAAGACCGTGAATTACCGATTTGGTCTGCATAAGATCACAGGTCACAATTTTTATTCATTGTCCGACCTCCAGCACAAAGATACCTCTTCGGAACTTTCCTGAACAGACAGTCCCGGTCACAGTTGTGACACATGGACAGGTTAACATGCGACCAGGACAGATGTGGAGAAATGACAGGATGTGGCCTGGGCATCGGGAGTTCTGGTGTCGCACAGAAATGTGTGATGAGCCACGGAACGCTCCGGCCCTGTGAACTTTTGCTCCTTTAGAAATTTTAGGCAGAAAGAATTCTATGTAGTGGCTCAATTTCCCTCAGCGACCCTGTGTGCCCCTCCAACCCTGCCAGGAACCCCCTCCCTCTCAAACGTCGAAGTTCTGATGTGACTGGAAGAGGACACGTGAAATTAACGCATCCCTCTACACAACAGAGAGGCTCCCACACACCACTCTGTCCACGATGACCAGTCAACGCACCTCCCAGGTCAGCTAGACGTCGTTGCTGTGACCTTTGAACAATCAGTCATATGCTCAAAACTTACCATGGAGGCTCTTCTGAGAAGGCGCCTTTAGCCACTGCTCCATGCAAATCTACTTGATTATTTTTCCCATCTTAGCACACGTCTCCCTATTAAAAGAAAAGAGAAACTTATTGCTCTGCTCTGTAAATGATATGATGCCTTCAGTCCACAACCAGTATTTTGTTCTGGATGAGCCTTCTGAAGGATAATTTAATCCGTAGCTTATTCTGGGATAATTTAGTCCATTTATTCTGTAATTAGCCAGGCAGCTATTCAAGGAAGAATTGCACAGCACGGTTTCTGAGGCTCCTGTATCCAAATGTTTTGGTATGTGTGCAATTTGGGACTTCCGTATCAGTAAAGCCCTTCCTCACGCTGAATCTGGACAGCACTACATTTTCTTCGGAGGTTATTGATTTAGCGCGTATCTATGACAGATGAAAGTTGTGTAAATAGTATGTGATGTTTGTAAAACTTGGGGACAGGTCTAATCTGCATTGCAGCATCCAGTACATCTACACAGATTTCTTTTCTCTCCGGTAATGCATCGATGTAGGAACAGTTAACGTGATGCTTGTGTCCTCACTCTAACCCACTTAAGGACGCTCTGTTTGTTCAGTGATTGCTTGAGGACTGCTGGGCACTTTGTCGTCTTGTCACTACAGAATCATCTTGTTGCAGATGGTGCTCATACAACACTGCACCGTCTACTTAAAAAGTAAGAATCCAAACAGGTTATTATTTGGGAGATAGCAGAAGAAAGCCTGCCTTTTACACTCTGTGTTACAACTCTTCAAGGATGGCACAGCAACGAAGAGGCGAACCATCTCATACGCACCTCGGATTATTTCACCACCCGCAGAATATTAGTACCAGGTGCACAAGGGTTTGAGATTTCATAAGTAATGACATACTGCATTATTAAAAAGTCAGAAGGTCGGGTCCTATCTTACCGCGCTTTCAATTACAACCGCAAGCATACTGAGCCGCACGCCTGCATGTCATCAATACGATCATTAAAGTATATTAGTTGAAATGAATTTATGTGTAACTACAATACTAATTACATCCATCTTAGATGACCTCTCTACAGTCGTTCAGGGTAGTTATTATCACATCTATTTTCACACTTAGAAAAATCGATGTTCAGGTGTTAAGGCATAAAACTCCTATGTTAAGGTCTGAGTAGGATCTATATTTATCCTCAATACAAACACTGTACACAATTCAAGAAATTAAGGTACATTTTCATTTGAATAAGTATAATAGTTGTCACAGATTGCTGTGTATTGGAGGTTAATATTCATTTGTGCATTGATATACATACTTACACGCACACATACACCTACATTGATATCAACATATACAGACATACAAACATATAAACACAAAGACATATACATAGAGACCTCCCCCACAAATACACATGCATATACACACATCCCCATTCACAAACACTCACACAAATATACATCCACGTCCACATATGCCCACATATACATACAGACACAACACAAATACACAGACATGTGTACACATATTCCCATATACAAGTGCAAAAACAGTCACATGGACACTCATATATACAGATAGGCACATACATATACATACATATACACATACCAACACAGACATACACACACATCTACAAACATATGCACACACAAACATATTTACAGAAATATATACACACAGACACAAAAATATACTCGCACACGTATGAGTACATACATATATGTACTATATGCATGTATATATCCACGTAATCCCATACATACATGCACAAATACACACATAGACATATGGATACACGTACCAGTGTACACATACATATACACATATACACACAAGTACACATACATATACATATACGTATAAACACATCTACATACACATATACATGCATACAGATATGCACAGTCATACCCACATATATCACACACATGCATTCACATACATACCACATACACTCTTAACAAAGCATATCATATGCGAAGGAAACTTATCACGACGAATTGGAAAAAGTAATTAAGGAAGAAATTCCTTCCCTTTCCCCACAGGACAAGAGGTACGGAATAAAGAGGTTGCTTGGTTTCTATGCGTGAACCGTGAGCGTGTGTCTCAGCGGGAAGAAAAGATCATTTGTTTTCCCCCTCACCAGTCCCAACACTGGCGAATGTATGCGTTAAATGGTTTTCAATGAAGATGTGTCGTCAATGAAAAGACAGTTGTTTGGTAGCAAGATAAAAGACAGTTGCGTAATCCATGCCTGATACACACGTCAGGTATGCAATTTATTCTCACTGTTGTATCCGTACGAATAGTAACTATCGAAATTGGTTTCGCCTCCATGTCAACTGATTAGAGCTCGTGCCTAGGTTCCTAACCATTGACCAATATTAAATTCACAACTACCAAGTTAGGACTATATAATTATTTCATGGGCATTATGTTACGTTTGGTTGTGGTTGTTTATTTTAAGTTATTTTCAGGTGAATTGTTGTTTACATCTGAAATAACTCACAAAGCAGGGATCTCAAACTAATTATTTCATGGGCATTATGTTACGTTTGGTTGTGGTTGTTTATTTTAAATTATTTTCAGGTGAATTGTTGTTTACATCTGAAATAACTCACAAAGCAAGGATCTCAAATTGGGCTTTTGTTATGGAGTGATGTTGGAAGTTTAGGACGTCCCAAAGAAAGGAAGTTAGGTAGGTCATTGTGTGCATGCCCTTGAAGTCAGGGCATGGACCCTGATATGCCTTGATTGTGTCCCTTCCTTGTCCCTGTCCCTGGGTCTCTTTCTCAATCTCCCTCTCTCTCTGTCCTCTCTGCTCTCTCCTTTCAGGCTATCACGAACTAAGCAGTCTCCCCCCCCCACGTCTTTTCCACGGGCCCAGAACAATAGGTGTGAACGTCCATAAGTCAAAGTAAACCCGTCCACATGCTAGTTGGTAATGTCAGGTATTTTGTCAGGGCCAAGGAAAGCTGACTTACGCACTTGCTAAATGCACAACACAGCATATATCCAAAATGCTAAAACTTTTGTCTTCAAAACCCTCAAACAATGACGACTTAGAGTAAGTCTGTGTATCCTTGTTATAGTTATAAGTTGTGTTCTACTGGTTCTATCTGTGGACGCCAATGGAGGGTCTCAAGCATGATCATTCCAACATTTATTTATAACACAGTTATTTTGCTCTGCTTGGTGATTCACTGTGGGCCATGACATGTGAGTAGTATTTCATGTATGTGTAGCTATAAGACACAGTCATGCAGCTCATGAAGTATTTCCAAGGTTAAAGAACAAATTCTCTAGATTAATGTCCTTTGCAATCTTACTTTGAACTTTGACCTTGATCACCAAAATTACAAGATTTGAAGAAAAATAAACTTCATCCCATATTGCTCATCATTTAAAAATACAAAGTAACTACCATACAGTCTAAGTCAGCACATAAGAATTATGGTTTCGGATGAATCATTTAGAATGACTTACATTCTATTTAAGAAGCTCTTGATTTGTCCATAAAAACAGAACCGCCTATCTGATGTGTCATCATTGGTAGGTTTTAACTAGTCAATGCAAACTATGTGTAGAAGATGTCAACTAGCTCCAGATTTACAAAGTGCATTTATATTAGCAAATGTTATCATAAAATTCTTTTCTTACTTGAATAACTTCTTAACATGAGTCAAAACACACGTACCTTTCAAGGAATATGAAATGCAGAAGCTAAGGACGGTATATTCTACACTATGCTAATGTTTCAAATAAACACCTTCATATACTTTCATTCTTAGAACTGCAGACCTGCATGATGGTAGATAGTTTGTCAGTCATTCCAACTCACCCTGGACAGCTGTCTAAAACACCTACAAAGAGGGATAAGGATTCAAATGCCGTCACCCTGAAAGACGTTGATGTGCCCTAACAACTCGTTGCATATCCTTTATCTGAAAACTTTGTAACCAGTATCCTTCCTGCTTTCTAGTTTAGGTACAATGAATCATCATGGTTGGGACCCAACTCTACAGTGTGTTTGCGAAGCCTGATTAGGAACTCTATATCATAGTTTTAATAAATTTGGGGATGCAGCAAAGTTTCTTAATATGAGGTATTTTCCCACTTGACACAGATTCGAGTCTCAAGAGGTCTGGTATTTTGTATGCAACGTTGATTTGAATGTGAAATATTCTCTGTAACCTCATGCGTTTGGTGGCACTGTTTGCAGAAAGCTGTGCGATCTTAGGAGGTGGAGGTTTTGAGACTTCATAATGCACTCCCATTTCCTGTTTACCCTCGGCTTCCAGAGTACAGAGGCAGTTTGATTAGTTGTGTCCTGTAATATCATTTATTGCTTGCCAGTATGGACCCTTGAAACTATAAGCAAAATTAAACTTTTTCTCCCTTAAGTTACCTTTTCCAGATTTGTGTGTGTGTGTGTGTGTGTGTGTGTGTGTGTGTGTGTGTGTAATAAGCAACTTAACTGATATTCTCTCAGGGTTTTGATATTTGGATATTAGAATGTTCAACTTGTAATGCAATGTATTGTTTTGCATCAAAAGAAATTCTGTCTGCACTGAGAGTCAGTTAAACAGATGTCAAACACCAGCTCTGAGGAGATTATAATGATGATTATCCCTAGAAATCTCTCCTCGAGTTCTCTTTGGACAGATGGTCATACAAACTAGTGCTGATGATTGCAAAAGATCCTACTGTAGATGATCACAGGATAGACACAGTTGATGGCTGGGAAAAGGTGTCAATTCGTACAAACCCTCAAGGAGCGACTGAAGATGGCCTTCGGAGCAAAGATGGAGAAAGATGTCAGTCCGAGGACAGTGTGAGGCAGATTGGGCCCAAGCTGGAATCCCTACATCGCCAAACAAGTCAATAGGTACATTTTAACAAACGGTACCGTGTTTAGATACCATGCATGACTAATATGTCAAACACCAGCTCTGAGGAGATTATAATGATGATTATCCCTAGAAATCTCTCCTCGAGTTCTCTTTGGACAGATGGTCATACAAACTAGTGCTGATGATTGCAAAAGATCCTACTGTAGGTGATCACAGGATAGACACAGTTGATGGCTGGG